GGATGGAAGGGTCCAGGTTTATTGGTTTCCCAATAAATAACCATCTGTTCCAGGATCATTTGGTGACTTTGCTTTCTATTGGAACAACTGGGCTGCTTTTACAGGAATTTGGCTGGGCATGACAGCTCACACCTGTAATCCCAGCACTTCGGGAGGACAAGGTGGGTGGATAACTTGAGGTTAGGAGTTCAAGAAAGACCGCTGGGCAACATGGTAAAACCCCATCGCTACTAAAAGTACAAAAAAAAAAAAAAATTAGCCAGACATGATGGCGCATGCCTGTAATCCAAGCTACTCGGGAGGCTGAGGCACAAGAAACGCTCCAACCTAGGAGGCAGAGGTTGCAGTGAACTGAGATTGCGCCACTGCATTCCATCGTGAGCAACAGAATGAGACACTGTCTCAAAACAAAACAAACAAAACAGAATTAATTGGCCAGGTAAAGTGTGGACCTGTTCTGGACTTTGTTTTCTGTTTACTGATTTGTGTTTCTGCCACACTGTCTTTATTCCATTGGTCAGAGAAGAGACCTAGGATGACTGAAACTATTTTAAATGTGTTGAGTCAGGTTTCTGAGCCAGCCTGGGGTCTGTCTCAGAGATTGTCCCCTGTGCACCTCAGCGTGGCATGCACCGGCTGCTGTCGGGAGTTTCTCCGAGTGCCAATTTGGTCTTGTTGGTTGATGGGCACTTCAAGTGTTCTGTATCTTCCCCTATTCTACTTTGTAAGGCTATCATTTCCTGAGAGTGTTAAAATCTCCTATTGTATAATAATTGTGGCTTATTTTTCCTTTCAGTTTTGCCAGTTTTTACTTCAGTGTTTTAAAAAAGAAATCTAGGTATTTTTTGTTTGGTGTTTGAGACAGGGTCTTGCTCTGTCACCCCGGCTGGAGTGCAGTGACATGATCTCAGCTCACTGCAGCCTCAACGTCCTGGCTCAAGCCATCCTCCCACCTCGGCCTCCTGAGTAGCTGGGACGACAGATGTGCACCACCATGCATGGCTAATTTTTAAATATTTTCTAGAGATGAGGTCTCACTGTGTTGCCCAGGCTGGTCTCAAACTCCTGGCCTCAAGTGATTCTCCTGCTTTAGTCTCCTGAAGTGTTGGGATTATAGGCACGAGGCACTGCACCCAAGGCTGGCTTGGCGGGTGGAGAGGTTGTGGCTCTCCTTGGGGGTCATGGAGGCCAAGGATCTGGACCTGGCACCTGAGCAGTAGCCTAGTATTCCAGTTTAGTTCCACTATTTGGTATTCCATATTTAGTTCCACAGGCCAGGGGTCTGGGCCTGGCCAACTGAGCAGCAGAACTAAACTATTCCAGTTTAGTTCCACTATTGGCTTATCACCTATACATCTTTCTGTTTTTTTAATGGTTGCTTTATGATTTATACTCTGAATATTTAACTAATTACGGTATACCTTCAAGTAAGACTGTCCTACTTCAAGTATCTTCACAACAGCCGCTTCTGCGCTCCATCCCCATCCTGTCATGTGGGTTACTTTTGCATTTGTAAAATTCTAAAATACATTTTATTTTATTTATTATTATTTTTTTGGCCACAGAGTCTTGCTCTGTTGCTGAGGCTGGAGTGCAGTGGAATGATCTCAGCTCACTGCAACCTCTGCCTCCTGGGTTCAAGTGATTCTCCTGCCTCAGCTTCTTGAGTAGCTGGGATTACAGGCATTCACCACCATGCCTGGCTAATTTTTATATTTTTAGTAGAGACAGGGTTTCACCATATTGGCCAGGCTGCTCTAGAACTTCTGGCCTCTAGTGATCTGCCCGCCTCAGCCTCCCAAAGTGCTGGGATCACAGGTGTGAGCCACCATGCCTGACTTAATTTTTGTTTTATACAGTTAATTACTTTTTCTTTTACAGTTTCATTAAGGTAAAATTTATAAACCATAGAACCTAGCCATTGTAAATGAACAATTCAATCATTTTGCTAACCTTATAGAGTTGTGCAAACATCACCACAATCCAGCTCTGGAACACTTTCATCACTTCCCAAATTTTCTCAACCCCATTTACAATAAATTTCCCCTCCCACTCATAGCCCCAAGCAATGCCAGCTTAATTCTGGTAAATTATAGAAACCTTGATCCAAGATACAGTTGTCTCTTAGCATCCATGGGGGACTGCTTGCAGGACCTCCCTTGCATCCAAAATTCATGGATGCTCAAGTGCCTTCTAGAAAACGATGTAGTATTTGCAAATAACCTACATATACCCTCCCCTATACTTTAAATCATCTCTAGATTACTTATAATACCTAATGCAATTTTAATGCTTTGTAAATAGTTGGGATACTATATTATTTAGGGAATAATGACAATAAAAAAAAGTCTGTATGTGTTCAGTACAGATGCAATTTGGGAGAATATTTTTGACCCAAGGTTCATTGAACTCAGGATACAGAACCCACAGATATGAAGGGCTAACTGTATGCCCTCTCCTCCCGCTCCTTTGTACTAGTATGGTCACATCTATACTGCATCTATATATGTTATAATTCCAACAATATGGTGTTAGAATTGTTGCCTTGTGTAAGTGGTTCACAGACTATTACCTCTCTTCCAAATCCAGCCTCCTTTATGCTTTATAAGTTCTGTTGAAACAGTTATGCTCATTCATTTATGTATTATCTATCATCTATAGCTGCTTCTATACTATAGCTGCAGAGTTATAACAGAGATCATGTGGTCTGTTAAGCTTAAAGTATTTACTACATGGTCGTTTGCAAGAAAAGTTTATCAATCCTTGCTTTGTACAGTCCTATTATTTTTTTTCTTTTGAGACAGAGTTTTCACTCTGGCTGCCCAGGCTGGAATGCAGTGGCACAGTCTTGGCTCATTACAACCTCTACCTCCTGGGTTGAAGCGATTCTCCTGCCTCATCCCCCCAAGTAGCTGGGATTACAGGCACCCGCCACCACGCCCGGCTAATTTTTTGTATTTAGTAGAGATAGGGTTTCACCATGTTAGTCAGGCTGGTCTCAAACTCCCGACCTCAGGTGATCCACCCACCTCGGCCTCCCAAAGTGCTGGGATTACAGGTGTGAGCCACCGTATCTGGCCACAATCCTATGTCTTTAAAAGAAGTTAAGAAATAAAATGAGGACAATATATATTCATAGAGTCTTTTATATTTACCTACATATTTGCCATTTTCAGCATTCTCATTTCTTATGTGCATTGAGTTAGTGTCTGGTATCAGTTCCTTTAAATCTAAAGGACTTCTTTAGTATTTCTTGTAAGGCAGATTTGCTAGCAATGACATTTCCAAGTCTTTGTTCATTTGGGAATGCCTTAATTTTGCTTTTTTTTTTTTGAGACAGAGTTTTGCTCTTGTTACCCAGGCTGGAGTGCAATGGCATGATCTCGGCTCACCGCAACCTCTGCCTCCTGGGTTCAGGCAATTCTCCTGCCTCAACCTCCTGAGTAGCTGGGATTACAGGCACGCACCACCATGCCCAGCTAATTTTTGTATTTTTAGTAGAGACGGGGTTTCACCATGTTGACCAGGATGGTCTCGATCTCTTGACCTCGTGATCTACCCGCCTTGGCCTCCCAAAGTGCTGGGATTACAGGCTTGAGCCACTGCGCCCGGCAATTTTGCTTTTTTTAATTTTAATTTTTATTTTTTTGAGACAGGGTCTTGCTCTGCCTGGCTGGAATGAAGTGGTGCAATCACAGCTCGCTGTAGCCTCAACCTCTCAGGCTTAAGCTATCTTCCTATCTCAGCCTCCTGAGCAGCTGGGACTATGGGCATGCACCACCATGCCCCACTAATTAAAAAAAAATTTTGTAAAGATCTTACTATATTACTCAGGCTGGTCTTGAATGTCTGGGCTCAAGCAATCCTCCTACCTCAGTCTCCCAAAGTGCTGGGATTACAGGCATAAGCCATCATGCCCAGACTATTTTGCCTTTATTTTTGAGAGATGGGTTGCTTGATATCAAATTTTTCATTGACAACACTTTCTTTCAGCCCTTTGAACATATTGTTCCACTTTATTCTAGCTGCTATGGTCTTGATGTGATTCAGGTGTTAGTTGTATTTTTGTGCCCTTATTATGTGATGGGTCCCTTTCTCTTAAGCATTTTGACTACGTTGTGTCTGGGTGCGGATCTCTGGTTTTCTCCTGCTTAGGTTTGGTCGAGCTCCTTGGATTCTGTAGATTGTTTTCAGCCATCACCTCAGCTCTCTCTTCTGCCTCTTTATATACGGTTAATGCTCTACAGATCTCTGAGGCTGTTTGTTTTTCTTCATTCAACCTTCCCCCTGACCCCTGTTTTTCAAATTGGTTAATTTATATTAATCTACAAGCTGATAATTCTAGTATCTCAGTTCTGTGGGTGAACCCCAGTAGTAAATTTTCAACTCCAGGATTTTTGCTTGCCTTTTAAAAAATAAGTCCTATTTCTTTATGGGATTCTCTCTTCACTGAGCCATTGTTAACATATTTTCCATTAATTTTTTAAACATGATTTTGTGTGTGTGTGTGTTTTGAACACATTTTTAATAGTTTCTTTGAAGTCTGTATTAAACCCAGTACTGGTGGACATTTAGAGACGCTTTCCATTCACTGCTTTGTTTCTCAGTATGGATCAAACATTCTTGTTTCTTTGTGTGATCTGAAATTTTTTGCTGGCTACTGGACATTTTAGATAACATATTCTAGGAACTCTAGATTCTGATCCTCCCAGGGTGTGGTTATACAATAACAGACACCTCAGGTTTGTTTAGTAACTTTCTTGGACTAAATCTGTTCCAACTTGGAATAAGTCCAGTCTCAATTCACTGCTACCTCACCTGATGCCACAGGCCCTCCAGCCCAGTGGCTATAGATCTTCCCCAGGCCCCTGAATTTGCTCTCGGATCCAGTGTCCAGGACAGGACTATGCCACCTTCACAGTGCACATGTACTCCCTCCCCCAGGCCCCCATCTGCTCCCCTAGCCTGCTTGTCTCCACTGACAGCCACTCTCTCTTCAGTGTCCGGCCGACAGCTGCAGCCTCGGGAGCCAGACGCAGAAACGGAAGATGACCACTCTGTAAGTGAGAGCAGGGGGAAGGGTGTCCTCTTCATACCCCACCTCCATTCTCCCTGGGCCCTGGGAGAACCAAGTGGCAGAGGTAACTGGATTCTCTCCCATCAGGTGACTGAAGGGCCTGCGGACGAGGTCATTCGACCACGGCCACAGGGGTCATCACCTGTCTACGAATACTCGACTGAGGCTGCTGACTTTGGACTCCAGGTGAGCCTACTGGGTAGAGCCCCACAGGCGCCCAGGTCTCCTACTGCATTGTCCTGTGTGGGCAACTCACACACGTCTGTGCAGCCCTGCTGTCCTGACCCGCTGCCCACTGGGCCACACCTGTGCCTACTCAGATGTCCTCTTAGGTTCCCCTGTGCCCTGGGGGTCCCTCCCTGCCAGGACACAGTGGGATGGAGGTGCCCTGCAGTTCTTGTGAGCATGCGTGTGGGCTGATGGGGAACAGACTTCATGAATCTGTTTCAGGGGCACGGGGTGTGTGTAACACACTCATGCTGTCTTTTGGGTAGCCCCGTGGCTACCTCTGGAGATGAAGACTTGGGGAAGGGATCAGAGGAGGCATGTCTAGGAAAGGATTCATTTTTGTTTTTGAATTTCTTATCTCCCTCCATACAAAACTCCAGTTGCTGCGGGGCTTCCCTGTGGGAGCTGTGGGCTGTAGGCGGGGCCCTACCAGGAAGCAGGAAGGCCAACAGTGGCCTTTTCTCTGTGGATGTGCCCAGAGGAACTCGGCTCCCTCTGCACACAGCGGCATGTCGGAGGCTCGGGGCCTCTCTAAAGGGAGGTCTCCTGGTCTGGTGCCAGCCTGCCTATGCCCCTCCCTGTCCCTGAGCTGGGGCTGGTGCCTAACTCCCAACACTTGTGGCTGCAGGAAGACGCCCCCGGCAGGCAAGGTTCCTCTGGGAGACGAAGGTCCTGGTGGAAGCGGGATTCAGGGGACTCACGGACATTTTTCAGGATGAGTCGTCCAGAGGTGGGTATAGCAGGAGCTGAGGGTCACAGAGGTGTGTCTGTCCACAAGGGATCCAGCCAGGGAGTCCAAGTTCAGAGCAGGCAGGGGAGGAGCAAGGAGGCTGGCAGTGTGCCCTGTGCCTTGGGGAGGGGTGTTCTTGTCCCCCTCGTCAGGTCTGGGGTAGGGCAGGGTCTCCAGAAGGCTGAATCTTGTCCTGACCCTCCCCTCCACCCCTTCCTGGTATGGAGTTTGATGCACAGCCAAGTTCCTGGCCAGGTAGACCTGGCTGTGCAGACCTCAATTTTCTCCTCTGTACAATGATGTCTGTTGCATATTCAAGCTGTGGGGCTGGAAGGGACCAGGCAGCTCCAAGGCCATGTAGCCATGTGCCAGACCCTGCTAGCACCCAATGATGAGGGCACTCTGCCTCTAAAGCAACTGGTTTTGTCCTTGGAGGCCCCAGAAGTCCAAGAGCTCTGCAGGACACAGGCCCCATCCTGTCCCAGGTCCAGCAGGCGGCACCCAGTGTCCTCTGTTTTCCTTGGCATTGCTGTTCTTCCTTGGCTTGAGCACCAGTGCCTTGCACGCAATTGGTGCTTTGTGTGTTTGTGAAGAATGCATGAAGAAGCTGAAAAAGGGAACCTTTGGCCACAGAAAAAGCAGGAGCCATTCCTCCCTGCTCCTGGTGCCTTGCTGGGCCTGGTGGCATGGACAGGCTGTGCCTAAGTCCTGGCAGTTTGGGGTGGGGACAAGAGTCCTGGCAGGCTGTAGCTGGCCTCCTCCAGAGCTCAGACACAGCTACCTGAGCCCACCTGGGGGGTGCCCCACCCTGCTCTGTGTTGTCCAGGCTGATGGACAGGATGGCAGGGTACCTGTCCTTGGGAGACACAGGCCCCATCAGGGATGCCTATGGTGGGACTGGCATATGCTCACCATGGCCATGATGTGCTTCTGTTCCAGTCTGTGCGGGAGGCAACAGAGGTGACACTGAAGACCGAGGTGGAGATAGGAGCCAGTGGCTATAGTGTCACAGGCGGTGGGGATCAGGGGATCTTTGTCAAGCAAGTACTGAAGGACTCCTCAGCCGCCAAGCTTTTCAACTTGAGAGAAGGTGCCATGGCAGTTCCATCTTTGGGGTCCCTATTCTCCCCACCAGGATGGGAGGGACCTGGAGGGGGACATTAAGGGGATAGGAGCCACACCTGGAGCTTAGGATGACCCCCTCATGTCTCTGCTCAGTCACTTGAGGCTGGGATCACCCACTGCATCCGCTAAAAGGGAGGACCCCATGCACCTTCCCTGTGCCTGAGGCTCTCAGTGGGGGACTGGTAGGGCAGACTCAGTGGGATCTCCCCTATTCATGCCCCTGGGGCCCTTCTCCCCAGCCAAGGCAAGACAGTGGACCCCATCTCATTCACACACCCAGCCCGGGGCTGCTCTTTCTTGGTCTAGGAGATCAGCTGCTCAGTGCAACCGTGTTCTTCGACAATATAAAATATGAAGATGCTCTCAAGATCCTACAGTACTCAGAGCCGTACAGGGTTCAGTTCAAAATCAGACGGCAGCTCCCTGCCCCACAGGATGAAGAGTGGGCTTCCAGCGATGCCCAGCATGGCCCACAGGGCAAGGAGAAGGAGGTGAGGCCACCATGCCCATGAGGTAGGGCCCCAATTGTCTTTACTACCCTGCTGGCTGAGCCTGGGAGGGGACAGCACTCCCACCCCATCTGTCCCTGGGCCAGGGCCTCAGGCTTCTTGGACTGTCACCAACAGATTCCCTCTCTCTGTGTTTCAGGACATGGATGTTGCTGATGGGTGCAGAGAGACCCCCACGAAAATTCTGGAAACAGATGGGGACCAAGAGAGACTCATCTCCAAACCTAGGGTGGGGAGAGGCAGGCGGCCCCAGAGGGAAAGGCTCTCTTGGCCGAAATTTCAGTCCATAAAGAGCAAGCGGGGGCCAGGGCCCCAGAGGTCACATAGCTCCTCAGAGGCCTATGAGCGCAGGGACACACATGACGTGTCCCCCACAAGCACAGACACAGAGGCCCAGCTCGTGGTGGAGCGCCAAGAGCAGAAGGCAGGGCCAGGCAGCCAGAGGAGGCGGAAGTTTCTCAACCTGAGATTCCGGACAGGCTCCGGAGCGGGCCCTTCAGTGACAGGACAGTCAGGCAGGGGGTCCCAGAGTGGGGTGGGCCGTGCTGGGATCCTGGAAGAATTAGGACCCTGGGGTGATAGCGTCAAGGATGCTGGGGCTGTCACAGGCAGTGGGAGAGAGGAGAGAGCAGAACAGGATCGAGAGGTGACGCCTGTGGAGTGGCCCCCAGAGCTCGGTGACCCTACCATTTGCAAGGGAACCCCTGAGGAGGGGGCACCCGGGGCAGCCAGGCGCCACAGAAAGACCCTGGAGGGGCAGGCACGAGAGGCAGCAGTGACCCATAGGAAGCCCAGAACCCAGCAAACTCCTGAAATAAGTGAGGAGGGTGAAGGTGAGGGTCTGCAGAGCCTGGAGATTGGGATTGCCAGAATGACCTTGAGAGACAAAACTCAAGGAGGCACCCAGAGTGGCCCACCTGAAATTAGGGTGCGAATACACGATTTAAAGACGCCAAAATTTGCATTTTCCACAGAAAAAGAGCCAGAAAGAGAAAGACACCTTAGTGCGGCACAGAGAGGAAAGAGACAGGACTTGCCTTCAAAAGAGGGTACCAGCCCGAAGGGTGAGGAGGGGCAAGGAGCAGGGTGGGTGCCGGGGATGGAACACCCCCCACATATAGAAGCACAGCAGGGTGAAGGAGACGGGCAGGAAGGACTCCAGAGGACAGGAATCACTCAGGGACAGGAGAAAGATGGGGAAGACACAGAAGGAAAGATGAGAATGCCCAAATTCAAGATACCCTCTTTTGGATGGTCACCAAGTAAGGAAACAAAGACAGGGAGAGAAAAAACCACACAGGACCTAGAGCAGGGAAGAACAGGAGACGCAATAGCGACAGATGCCAGAAGAGAATTGACAGGCACAGAGGCAGGCCTCAGAGAAAAAGACGACAGGGACTCACTGATGAACAAAACAAAAATACAACTAAAACATGACCAACAACGCTTAAAAACAGAAAAAATTCTGAAAGACAAGGATGTGGCCGCCGCCAAAGACAGCAAGTTCAAAATGCCCAAGTTCAAGATGCCGTCGTTCGGGGTGTCGGCCCCAGGCAAGTCCATCGAGGCCTCAGTAGATGTGTCTGTGCCAAAGGTGGAGGCCGAGGTGAGCCTCCCCTCCATGCAGGGTGACCTCAAGACCACTGACCTCAGCATTCAGCCTCTTTCTGCTGACCTGGAAGTCCAGGCTGGCCAGGTGGATGTGAAGCTCCCAGAGGGCCACGTGTCCGAGGGAGCCAGCCTCAAAGGGCACCTGCCCAAGGTACAGATGCCCAGCTTGAAGATGCCCAAAGTGGACCTCAAGGGCTCCCAGGGGGATGTCAAAGGCCCCAAACTGGACCTAAAAAGCCCCAAAGTGGAGGTGACTGCACCCGACATGGAAGTGTCTCTGCCCAGCGTGGAGGTGGATGTCCAGGCCCCTGGAGCCAAGCTGGACAGCGTGCAGCTGGAAGTGGACCTGTCCCTGGCCGACAAGGATGTAGCCACCACCAAAGACAGCAATTTCAAGATGCCCAAGTTCAAGATGCCATCATTTGGGATGTCAGGCCCAGACAAGTCCATCGAGACCTCGGTGGAGATGCCTGCACCAAAGGTGGAGGCTGAGGTGAGCCTCCCCTCCATGCAGGGGGACCTCAAGACCACAGACCTCAGCATTCAGCCCCCTTGCGCCACACTAGAAGTCCAGGTTGGCCAGGTGGATGCGAAGCTCCCAGAGGGCCATGTGCCTGAGGGAGCCGGCCTCAAAGGACACCTGCCCAAGGTGCAGATGCCCAGCTTCAAGATGCCCAAAGTGGACCTCAAGGGCCCCCAGGTGGACATCAAGGGCCCCAAGCTGGACATGAAAGGCCCCAAGGCAGAGGTGATGGTGCCTGACATGGAGGTGTCTGTGCCCAGCGTGGAGATGGACATCCAGGCCCCGGGAGTCAAGCTGGATGGCGCACGGCTAGAGGGGGACCTGTCCCTGGCCGACAAGGACATAGCCACTGCCAAAGAAAGCAAGTTCAAGATGCCCAAGTTCAAGATGCCATCATTCGGGGTGGCTGCCCCAGGCAAGTCCATCGAGGCATCGGTGGACGTGTCTGTGCCAAAGGTGGAGGCCGAGGTGAGCCTCCCCTCCATGCAGGGTGACCTCAAGACCACTGACCTCAGCATGCAGCTTCCTTCCACCGATGTGGAGGTCCAGGCTGGCCAGGTGGACTTGAAGCTCGCAGAGGGCCACGTGCCTGAGGGAGCTGGCCTCAAAGGGCACCTGCCCAAAGTGCAGATGCCTAGCCTGAAGACAACCAAAGTGGACCTCAAGGGCCCCCAGGTGGATGTCAAATGCCCCAAGCTGGACCTGAAAGGCCCCAAGGCGGAGGTGACGGCCCCTGATGTGGAGGTGTCTCTGCCCAGTGTGGAGGTGGACATCCAGGCCCCAGGAGCCAAACTGGACGGCACGCGGCTAGAGGGGGACCTGTCCCTGGCTGACAAGGATGTGGCTGCCGCCAAAGAAAGCAAGTTCAAGATGCCCAAGTTCAAGATGCCATCGTTTGGGGTGTCAGCCCCAGGCAAGTCCATCGAGGCTTCTAAGGACGTCTCTGTGCCGAAGGTGGAGGCTGAGGTGAGCCTCCCCTCCATGCCGGGAGACCTGAAGACCAGTGACCTTGGCATGCAGCTTCCTTCCGCCGACCTGGAGGTCCAGGCTGGAAAGTTGGACGTGAAGCTCCCCGAGGGCCACGTGCACGATGGAGCCGGACTAAAGGGGCACCTGCCAAAGGTACAGATGCCCAGCTTCAAGATACCCAAAGTGGACCTAAAGGGCCCCGAGGTGGACATCAAGGGCCCCAAACTGGATGTGAAAGGCCCCAAGGCGGAGGTGATGGCCCCCGACACGGAGGTGCCTCTGCCTAGTGTGGAAGTGGATGTCCAGGCCCCGGGAATCAAGCTGGATGGTGCACAGCTGGAGGGGGACCTGTCCCTGGCTGAAAAGGACGTGGCCACCACCAGAGACAGCAAGTTCAAGATGCCCAAGCTCAAGATGCCATCATTCGGAGTGTTGGCCCCAGGCAAGTCCATGGAGGCCTCTGCTGATGTCTCTGCACCGAAGGTGGAGGCCGAGGTGAGCCTCCCCTCCATGCCGGGGGACCTGAAGACCACTGACCTCAGCATGCAGCTTCCTTCGGCCAACCTGGAGGTCCAGGCTCGCCAGGTGGACGTGAAGCTCCCGGAGGGCCACATGCCCGAGGGAGCCAAACTCAAAGGGCCCCTGCCCAAGGTGCAGATGGCCAGCTTCAAGATGCCCAAAGTGGACCCCAGGGGCCCCCAGGTGGACATCAAGGGCCCCAAATTGGACCTGAAAGGCCTCAAGGAGGAGGTGATGGCCCCCGACGTGGAGGTGTCTCTGCCCAGCGTGGAGGTGGACGTTCAGACCCCGGGAACCAAGCTGGATGGCATGCAGCTGGAGGGGGACCTATCCTTGGCCGACAAGGATGTGGCTGCCGCCAAAGACAGCAAGTTCAAGATGCCCAAGTTCAAGATGCCCAAAGTGGACCTCAAGGGCCCCCAGGTGGACGTCAAGGGCCCCAAGCTGGACCTGAAAGGCCCCAAGGCGGAGGTGACGGCCCCTGATGTGGAGGTGTCTCTGCCCAGCGTGGAGGTGGACATCCAGGCCCCGGGAGCCAAACTGGACGGCACGCGGCTAGAGGGGGACCTGTCCCTGGCTGACAAGGACGTGGCCGCCGCCAAAGAAAGCAAGTTCAAGATGCCCAAGTTCAAGATGCCATCGTTTGGGGTGTCAGCCCCAGGCAAGTCCATCGAGGCCTCTGTGGACGTCTCTGCGCCGAAGGTGGAGGCTGAGGTGAGCCTCCCCTCCATGCCGGGGGACCTGAAGACCAGTGACCTTAGCATGCAGCTTCCTTCTGCCGACCTGGAGGTCCAGGCTGGAAAGTTGGACGTGAAGCTACCGGAGGGCCAAGTGCACGATGGAGCTGGACTAAAGGGGCACCTGCCAAAGGTACAGATGCCCAGCTTCAAGATGCCCAAAGTGGACCTAAAAAACCCCGAGGTGGACATCAAGGGCCCCAAACTGGATGTGAAAGGCCCCAAGGTGGAGGTGATGGCCCCCGACATAGAGGTGCCTCTGCCCAGTGTTGAGGTGGACGTCCAGGCCCTGGGAGTCAAGCTGGATGGCGCGCAGCTGGAGGGGGACTTGTCCCTGACTGAAAAGGACGTGGCTGCCACTAGAGATAGCAAGTTCAAGATGCCCAAGCTCAAGATGCCGTCATTCGGAGTCTCGGCCCCAGGGAAGTCCATGGAGGCCTCTGCTGATGTCTCTGCACCGAAGATGGTGGCCGAGGTGAGCCTCCCCTCCATGCCAGGGGACCTGAAGACCACTGACCTCAGCATGCAGCTTCCTTCTGCCGACCTGGAGGTCCAGGCTGGCCAGGTGGACGTGAAGCTCCCGGAGGGCCACGTGCCTGAGGGAGCCAAACTCAAAGGGCACCTGCCCAAGGTGCAGATGCCCAGCTTCAAGATGCCCAAAGTGGACCCCAAGGGCCCCCAGGTGAACATCAAGGGCCCCAAACTGGACCTGAAAGGCCCCAAGGTGGAGGTGATGGCCCCCGACGTGGAGGTTTCTCTGCCCAGCGTGGAGGTGGACGTTCAGACCCCGGGAGCCAAGCTGGACGGTGTGCAGCTGGCGGGGGACCTATGCCTGGCTGACAAGGATGTGGCTGATGCCAAAGACAGCAAGTTCAAGATGCCCAAGTTCAAGATACCATCATTCGGAACGTTGGCCCCAGGCAAGTCCTTTGAGGCCTCGGTTGATGTGTCTGCGCCGAAAGTGGAGGCCGAGGTGAGCCTCCCTTCCATGCAGGGGGACCTCAAGACCACTGACCTCAGCATTCAGCCCTCTACTGCCAACCTAGAGGTCCAGGCTGGCCAAGTGGACGTTAAGCTCCCGGAGGGCCACGTGCCCGAGGGAGCCAAACTCAAAGGGCACCTGCCCAAGATGCAGATGCCCAGCTTTAAGATGCCCAAAGTGGACCTCAAGGGCCCTCAGGTGGACGTCAAGGTCCCGAAGCTGGACCTGAAAGGCCCCAAGGCAGAGGTGACGGCCCCTGATGTGGAGGTGTCTCTGCCCAGCGTGGAGGTGGACATCCAGGCCCCGGGAGCCAAACTGGATGGCACGTGGCTAGAGGGGGACCTGTCCCTGGCTGACCAGGACTTGGCCGCCACCAAATACAGCAAGTTCAAGATGCCCAAGTTCAAGATGCCATCGTTTGGGGTGTCAGCCCCAGGCAAGTCCATCGAGGCCTCTGTGGATGTCTCTGCGCCGAAGGTGGAGGCTGAGGTGAGCCTCCCCTCCATGCCGGGGGACCTGAAGACCACTGACCTTAGCATGCAGCTTCCTTCCACCGACCTGGAGGTCCAGGCTGTAAATTTGGACCTGAAGCTCCCGGAGGGCCACGAGCCCGATGGAGATGGACTCAAGGGGCACCTGCCAAAGGTACAGATGCCCAGCTTCAAGATGCCCAAAGTGGACCTAAAGGGCCCCGAAGTGGACATCAAGGGCCCCAAACTGGATGGGAAAGGCCCCAAGGCGGAGGTGATGGCCCCCGACACGGAGGTGCCTTTGCCTAGTGTGGAAGTGGATGTCCAGGCCCCGGGAATCAAGCTGGATGGTGCACAGCTGGAGGGGGACCTGTCCCTGGCTGAAAAGGACGTGGCCACCACCAGAGACAGCAAGTTCAAGATGCCTAAGCTCAGGATGCCATCATTCGGAGTGTCGGCCCCAGGCAAGTCCATGGAGGCCTCTGTTGATGTCTCTGCACCGAAGGTGGAGGCCGAGGTGAGCCTCCCCTCCATGCCGGGGGACCTGAAGACCACTGACCTCAGCATGCAGCTTCCTTCGGCCAACCTGGAGGTCCAGGCTGGCCAGGTGGACGTGAAGCTCCCGGAGGGCCACGTGCCCGAGGGAGCCGAACTCAAAGGGCACCTGCCCAAGGTGCAGATGCCCAGCTTCAAGATACCCAAAGTGGACCTCAAGGGCCCCCAGGTGGACGTCAAGGGCCCAAAGCTGGACCTGAAAGGCCCCAAGGTGGAGGTGACGGCCCCTGATGTGGAGGTGTCTCTGCCCAGCGTGGAGGTGGACATCCAGGCCCCGGGAGCCAAGCTGGACAGCACGCGGCTAGAGGGGGACCTGTCCCTGGCTGACAAAGATGTGACCGCCGTCAAAGAAAGCAAGTTCAAGATGCCCAAGTTCAAGATGCCATCGTTTGGGGTGTCAGCCCCAGGCAAGTCCATCGAGGCCTCTGTGGACGTCTCTGCGCCGAAGGTGGAGGCTGAGGTGAGCCTCCCCTCCATGCCGGGGGACCTGAAGACCACTGACCTTAGCATGCAGCTTCCTTCCACCGACCTGGAGGTCCAGGCCGGAAAGTTGGGCGTGAAGCTCCCGGAGGGCCACGTGCATGATGGAGCCGGACTAAAGGGGCACCTGCCAAAGGTACAGATGCCCAGCTTCAAGATACCCAAAGTGGACCTAAAGGGCCCCGAGGTGGACATCAAGGGCCCCAAACTGGATGTGAAAGGCCCCAAGGCGGAGGTGATGGCCCCCGACACGGAGGTGCCTCTGCCTAGTGTGGAAGTGGATGTCCAGGCCCCGGGAATCAAGCTGGATGGTGCACAGCTGGAGGGGGACCTGTCCCTGGCTGAAAAGGACGTGGCCGCCACCAGAGACAGCAAGTTCAAGATGCCCAAGCTCAAGATGCCATCATTCGGAGTGTCGGCCCCAGGCAAGTCCATGGAGGCCTCTGCTGATGTCTCTGCACCGAAGGTGGAGGCCGAGGTGAGCCTCCCCTCCATGCCGGGGGACCTGAAGACCACTGACCTCAGCATGCAGCTTCCTTCGGCCAACCTGGAGGTCCAGGCTCGCCAGGTGGACGTGAAGCTCCCGGAGGGCCACATGCCCGAGGGAGCCAAACTCAAAGGGCCCCTGCCCAAGGTGCAGATGGCCAGCTTCAAGATGCCCAAAGTGGACCCCAGGGGCCCCCAGGTGGACATCAAGGGCCCCAAACTGGACCTGAAAGGCCTCAAGGCAGAGGTGATGGCCCCCAACATGGAGGTGTCTCTGCCCAGCGTGGAGGTGGACGTTCAGACCCCGGGAACCAAGCTGGACAGTGTGCAGCTGGAGGGGGACCTATCCTTGGCCGACAAGGATGTGGCTGCCGCCAAAGACAGCAAGTTCAAGATGCCCAAGTTCAAGATGCCCAAAGTGGACCTCAAGGGCCCCCAGGTGGACGTCAAGGGCCCCAAGCTGGACCTGAAAGGCCCCAAGGCGGAGGTGACGGCCCCTGATGTGGAGGTGTCTCTGCCCAGCGTGGAGGTGGACATCCAGGCCCCGGGAGCCAAACTGGACGGCACGCGGCTAGAGGGGGACCTGTCCCTGGCTGACAAGGACGTGGCCGCTGCCAAAGAAAGCAAGTTCAAGATGCCCAAGTTCAAGATGCCATCGTTTGGGGTGTCAGCCCCAGGCAAGTCCATCGAGGCCTCTGTGGACGTCTCTGCGCCGAAGGTGGAGGCTGAGGTGAGCCTCCCCTCCATGCCGGGGGACCTGAAGACCAGTGACCTTAGCATGCAGCTTCCTTCCACCGACCTGGAGGTCCAGGCTGGAAAGTTGGACGTGAAGCTCCCAGAGGGCCACGTGCACGATGGAGCCGGACTAAAGGGGCACCTGCCAAAGGTACAGATGCCCAGCTTCAAGATGCCCAAAGTGGACCTAAAGAGCCCCGAGGTGGACATCAAGGGCCCCAAACTGGATGTGAAAGGCCCCAAGGTGGAGGTGATGGCCCCCAACACGGAGGTGCCTCTGCCTAGTGTGGAGGTGGACGTCCAGGCCCCGGGAGTCAAGCTGGATGGTGTGCAGCTGGAGGGGGACCTGTCCCTGGCTGAAAAGGACGTGGCCGCCACCAGAGACAGCAAGTTCAAGATGCCCAAGCTCAAGATGCCATCATTCGGAGTGTCGGCCCCAGGCAAGTCCATGGAGGCCTCTGTTGATGTCTCTGCACCGAAGGTGGAGGCCGAGGTGAGCCTCCCCTCCATGCCGGGGGACCTGAAGACCACTGACCTCAGCATGCAGCTTCCTTCGGCCAACCTGGAGGTCCAGGCTGGCCAGGTGGACGTGAAGCTCCCGGAGGGCCACGTGCCCGAGGGAGCCGAACTCAAAGGGCACCTGCCCAAGGTGCAGATGCCCAGCTTCAAGATACCCAAAGTGGACCTCAAGGGCCCCCAGGTGGACGTCAAGGGCCCAAAGCTGGACCTGAAAGGCCCCAAGGTGGAGGTGACGGCCCCTGATGTGGAGGTGTCTCTGCCCAGCGTGGAGGTGGACGTTCAGACCCCGGGCGCCAAGCTGGACGGCATGCAGCTGGAGGGGGACCTATCCTTGGCTGACAAGGACATGGCTGTCGCCAAAGACAGCAAGTTCAAGATGCCCAAGTTCAAGATACCATCATTAAGAACGTCGGCCCCAGGCAAGTCCTTTGAGGCCTCGGTTGATGTGTCTGCACCGAAAGTGGAGGCCGAGGTGAGCCTCCCTTCCATGCAGGGGGATCTCAATACCACTGACCTCAGCATTCAGCCCCCTACTGCCAACCTGGCGGTCCAGGCTGGCCAGGTGGACGTAAAGCTTCCGGAGGGCCATGTGCCCGAGGGAGCCCAACTCAAAGGGCACCTGCCCAAGGTGCAGATGCCCAGCTTCAAGGTGCCCAAGGTGGACCTCAAGGGCCCCCAGGTGGACATCAAGGGTCCCAAGGCGCAGGTGACAGCCCCTGATGTGGAGGTGCCTCTGCCCAGCGTGGACGTGGACGTCCAGGCCCCGGGAGCCAAGTGGGACGGTGCTCAGCTGGAGGGGGACCTATCCCTGGCCGACAAAGACGTGGCTGCTGCCAAAGACAGCAAGTTCAAGATGCCTAAGTTCAAGATGCCATCATTCGGGGTGTCAGCCCCAGGCAAGTCCATCGAGGCCTCAGTTGATGTGTCTGCGCCGAAGGTGGAGGCCGAGGTGAGCCTCCCCTCCATGCAGTGGGACCTCAAGAGCACTGACCTCAGCATTCAGCCCCCTACTGCCAACCTGGAAGCCCAGGCTGGCAAGGTGGATGTGAAACTCCCAGAGAGCCACATGCCCGAGGGAGCCAGCCTCAAAGGACATCTGCCCAAGGTACAGATGCCCAGCTTGAAGATGCCCAAAGTGGACCTCAAGGGCCCCCAGGTGGATGTCAAGGGCCCCAAGGTGGACCTGAAAGACCTCAAGGCAGGGGTGATGCCGCCTGATGTGGAGCTGTCTGTACCCAGCATGGAGGTGGACGTTCAGGCCCCGGGAGCCAAGCTGGATGGCGCACGGCTAAAGGGGGACCTGTCCCTGGCTGACAACGATGTGGCAGCCGCCAAAGACAGCAAGTTCAAGATGCCCAAGTTCAAAATGCCATCGTTTGGGGTGTCAGCGCCAGGCAAGTCCATCGAGGCCTCTGTGGATGTCTCTGCACAGAAGGTGGAGGCTGAGGTGAGCCTCCCCTCCATGCTGGGGGACCTGAAGACCAGTGACCTTAGCATGCAGCTTCCTTCCGCAGACCTGGAGGTCCAGGCTGGAAAGTTGGATGTGAAGCTCCCGGAGGGCCACGTGTCCGAGGGAGCTGGACTCAAGGGGCACCTGCCGAAGGTACAGATGCCCAGCTTCAAGATGCCCAAAGTGGACCTAAAGGGCCCTGAGGTGGACATCAAGGGCCCCAAACTGGATGTGAAAGGCCCCAAGGCGGAGGTGACAGCCCCCGATGTGGAGTTGCCTCTGCCCAGTGTTGAGGTGGACGTCCAGGCCCCGGGAGTCAAGCTGGATGGTGTGCAGCTGGAGGGGGACCTGTCCCTGGCTGAAAAGGACGTGGCTGCCACCAGAGACAGCAAGTTCAAGATGCCCAAGCTCAAGATGCCATCATTCGGAGTGTCGGCCCCAGGCAAGTCCATGGAGGCCTCTGTTGATGTCTCTGCACCAAAGGTGGTGGCCGAGGTGAGCCTCCCCTCCATGCCGGGAGACCTGAAGACCACTGACCTTAGCATGCAGCTTCCTTCCGCCGACCTGGAGGTCCAGGCTGGCCAGATGGACGTAAAGCTCCTGGAGGGCCACGTGCCCCAGGGAGCCAAATTCAAAGGGCACCTGCCCAAGGTGCAGATGCCCAGCTTCAAGATGCCCAAAGTGGACGTCAAGGGCCACAAGCTGGACCTGAAAGGCTCCAAGGCAGAAATGATGGTCCCCACTGCCCCTGATGTAGAGGTGTCTCTGCCCAGCATGGAGGTGAAAATCCAGGCCCCGGGAGACAAGGTAGATAGCGTGCGGCTGGAGGGGGACTTGTCTCTAGCTGACAAGGATGTGGCTGCTGCCAAAGACAGCAAGTTCAAGATGCCGAAGTTCAAGATGCCCAAAGTGGATCTCAAGGGCCCCCAGGTGGACGTCAAGGACCCCAAGCTGGACCTGAAAGGCCCCAAGGTGGAGGTGATGGTCCCTGATGTGGAGGTGTCTGTGCCCAGCATGGAGGTGGACGTTCAGGCCCAGGGAGCCAAGCTGGATGGTGCACGGCTAAAGGGGGACCTGTCCCTGGCCAACAAGGACCTAGCCACCACCAAAGACAGCAAGTTCAAGATGCCCAAGTTCAAGATGCCATCATTTGGGGTGGGTGCCCCAGGCAAGTCCATCGAGGCATCGGTGGACATGTCTGCGCCAAAGGTGGAGGCCGAGGCGAGCCTCCCCTCCATGCAGGGAGACCTCAAGACCACCGACCTCAGCTTTGAGACTCCTTCGGCTGACTTGGAGGTCCAGGCTGGCCAGGTGGACTTGAAGGTCACAGAGGGCCATGTGCCCGAGGGTGCCGGCCTGAAAGGGCACCTGCCCAAGATGCAGCTTCCCAGCTTCAAGATGCCCAGAGTGGACCTTAAGGGCCCCCAGGTGGACATCAAGGGCCCCAAACTGGACCTGAAAGGTCCCAAGGTGGAGATGATGGCCCCCGATGTGGAGGTGTCTCTGCCCAGTGTGGATGTGGATGTCCAAGCCCCAGGAGTCAAGCTGGATGGTGTGAAGCTGGAGGGGGACCTGTCCCTGGCTGAAAAGGACGTGGCTGCTACCAGAGACAGCAAGTTCAAGATGCCCAAGCTCAAGATGCCATCATTAGGAGTGTCGGTCCCAGGCAAGTCCATGGAGGCCTCTGTTGATGTCTCTGCACCGAAGGTGGAGGCCGAGGTGAGCCTCCCCTCCATGCCAGGAGACCTGAAGACCACTGACCTTAGCATGCAGCTTCCTTCTGCCGACCTGGAGGTCCAGGCTGGCCAGATGGACGTGAAGCTCCTGGAGGGCCACGTGCCCGAGGGAGCCGAACTCAAAGGGCACCTGCTCAAGGTGCAGATGCCCAGCTTCAAGATGCCCAAAGTGGATTTCAAGGGCTCCCAGGTGGACGTCAAGGGCCCCAAGCTGGACCTGAAAGGCTCCAAGGCGGAAGTGACGGTCCCCACTGCTCCCGATGTGGATGTGTCTCTGCCCAGCATGGAGGTGAAAATCCAGGCCCCGGGAGACAAGGTAGATAGCGTGCGGCTGGATGGGGACTTGTCTCTAGCCGACAAGGATATGGCCGCCACCAAAGACAGCAAGTTCAAGATGCCCAAGTTCAAGATGCCCAAAGTGGACCTCAAGGGCCCCCAGGTGGACGTCAAGGACCCCAAGCTGGACCTGAAAGGCCCCAAGGTGGAGGTGATGGCCCCTGATGTGGAGGTGTCTGTGCCCAGCATGGAGGTGGACGTTCAGGCCCAGGGAGCCAAGCTGGATAGCGCACGGCTAAAGGGGGACCTGTCCCTGGCCAACAAGGACCTAGCCACCACCAAAGACAGCAAGTTCAAGATGCCCAAGTTCAAGATGCCATCATTCGGGGTGGGTGCCCCAGGCAAGTCCATTGAGGCATCGGTGGACATGTCTGCACCAAAGGTGGAGGCCGAGGCGAGCCTCCCCTCCATGCAGGGGGACCTCAAGACCACTGACCTCAGCATTCAGGCCCCTTCAGCTGACTTGCAGGTCCAGGCTGGCCAGGTGGACTTGAAGGTCACAGAGGGCCATGTGCCCGAGGGTGCCGGCCTGAAAGGGCACCTGCCCAAGATGCAGCTTCCCGGCTTCAAGATGCCCAGAGTGGACCTCAAGGGCCCCCAGGTGGACATCAAGGGCCCCAAACTGGACCTGAAAGGTCCCAAGGTGGAGGTGACGGCCCCCGATGTGGAGGTGTCTCTGCCCAGTGTGGATGTGGATGTCCAGGCCCCGGGAGTCAAGCTGGATGGCGCGCAGCTGGAGGGGGACCTGTCCCTGGCTGACAAGGACGTGACCATCGCCAAAGACAGCAAGTTCAAGATGCCCAAGTTCAAGATGCCATCATTCGGGGTGGCTGCCCCAGGGAAGTCCATCGAGGCATCAGTGGACGTGTCTGCACCAAAGGTGGAGGCCGAAGTGAACCTCCCCTCCATGCAGGGAAACCTCAAGACCACTGACCTCAGCATTCAGGCCCCTTCTGCTGACGTGGAGGTCCAGGCTGGCCAGGTGGACTTCAAGCTCACAGAGGGCTACGTGCCCAAGGGACCTGGTCTCAAAGGGCACCTGCCAAAAGTGCAAATGCCCAGCTTCAAGATGCCCAAAGTGGACCTCAAGGGCCCCCAGGTGGATGTCAAGGGCCCCAAACTGGACGTGAAAGGCCCCAAGGCAGAGGTGATGGCCCCTGACATAGCGGCGTCTCTGCCCAGTGTGGATGTGGACATCCAGGCCCCGGGACCTAAGCTGGATGGCACGCAACTGGAGGGGGATGTATCCCTGGCTGACAAGGACATGGCCATCGCCAAAGACAGCAAGTTCAAGATGCCCAAGTTCCAGATGCCATCATTCGGGGTGTCAGCCCCAAGCAAGTCCATTGAGGCATCGGTGGACGTGTCTGCGCCAAAGGTGGAGGCCGAAGTGAGCCTCCCCTCCATGCAGGGGGACCTCAAGACCCCTGACCTCAGCATTCAGACCCCTTCCACCGACGTGGAGGTCCAGGCTGGCCAGGTGGACTTGAAGCTCATGGAGGGCCACATGCCCGAGGGACCTGGCCTCAAAGGGCACCTGCCCAAGGTGCAGATGCCCAGCTTCAAGATGCCCAAAGTGGACCTCAAGGGCCCCCAGGTGGATGTCAAGGGCCCCAAGCTGGACCTGAAAAGCCCCCAAGCACAAGTGATGGACCCCACTGCCCCCGATGTGGATGTGTCTCTGCCCAGCATGGAGGTGAAGATTCAGGCCCCGGGAGACAAGGTAGATAGCGTGCGGCTGGAGGGGGACTTGTCTCTAGCCGACAAGGATATGGCCGCCACCAAAGACAGCAAGTTCAAGATGCCCAAGTTCAAGATGCCCAAAGTGGACCTCAAGGGCCCCCAGGTGGACATCAAGGACCCCAAGCTGGACCTGAAAGGCCCCAAGATGGAGGGGACGGCCCCTGATGTGGAGGTGTCTGTGCCCAGCAAGGAGGTGGACGTTCAGGCCCAGGGAGCCAAGCTGGATGGTGCACGGCTAAAGGGGGACCTGTCCCTGGCCAACAAGGACCTAGCCACCACCAAAGACAGCAAGTTCAAGATGCCCAAGTTCAAGATGCCATCATTTGGGGTGGGTGCCCCAGGGAAGTCCATCGAGGCATCAGTGGACATGTCTGCGCCGAAGGTGGAAGCCGAGGTGAGCCTCCCTTCCATGCAGAGCGACCTCAAGACCACCGACCTCAGCATTCAGACTCCTTCGGCCTACCTGGAGGGCCAGGCTGGCCAGGTGGACTTGAAGCTCACAGAGGGCCATGTGCCCGAGGGACCTGGCCTCAAAGGGCACCTGCCAAAGGTGCAGATGCCCAGCCTCAAGATGCCCGAAGTGGACCTCAAGGGCCCCCAGGTGGACATCAAGGGCCCCAAACTGGATGTGAAGGGCCCCAAGGCAGAGGTGACAGCCCCTGATGTAGAGGTGTCTCTGCCCAGTGTGGATGTGGACGTCCAGGCCCCGGGACCCAAGCTGGACGGCACACAACTGGAGGGGGACCTATCCCTGGCTGACAAGGACGTGGCTGCCGCCAAAGACAGCAAGTTTAAGATGCCCAAGTTCAAGATGCCATCATTTGGGGTGTCAGCCCCAAGCAAGTCCATCGAGGCCTCGGTGGACATGTCTGCGCTGAAGGTGGAGTCAGAGGTGAGCCTCCACTCCATGCAGGGCAACCTTAAGACCACTGACCTCAGCATTCAGCCTCCTTCCACCGACCTGGAGGTCCAGGCTGGCCAGGTGGACATGAAGCTCCCGGAGTGCCACGTGCCTCAGGGAGCTGGCCTCAAAGGGCACCAGCCCAAGGTGCAGATGCCTAGCCTGAAGACAACCAAAGTGGACCTCAAGGGCCCCCAGGTGGACATCAAGGGCCCCAAGCCGGACCTCAAAGCCCCCAAGGCAGTGATGACAGCCCCCGACGTGGAAGTGTCTCTGCCCAGCGTCGAGGTGGATGCCCAGGCCCTGGGAGCCAAGCTGGATGGTGCACGACTGGAAGGTGACCTGTACGTGGCCGACAAGGACGTGGCCGACAAGGACGTGGCCACCGCCAAAGACAGCAAGTTCAGGATGCCCAAGTTCAAGATGCCATCGTTCAGGGTGTCAGCCCCAGGCAAGTCCATTCAGGCCTCAGTGGATGTGTCTGTGCCGAAGGCGGAGGCCAAGGTGGGCCTCCCCTCCATGCAGGGGGACCTCAAGACCACTGACCTCAGCATTCAGCCCCCTTCTGCCGACCTGGAGGTCCAGGCTGGCCATATGGACGTGAAGCTCCCAGAGGGCCACATGTCTGAGGGAGCCGGCCTCAAAGGGCACCTGCCCGAGGTGCAAATGCCCAGCTTCAAGATGGCCAAAGGGGACCTCGAGGGCCCCCAGATGGACATCAAGGGCCCCATGCTGGACCTGAAAGGCCCCAAGGCAGAGGTGACGGTACCTGACGTGGAAGTGTCTCTGCCCAGCATGGAGGTGGATGTCAATGTCCCAGGAGCCAAGCTGGGTGGTTTTCAGCTTGCGGGCGACCGGTCCTTGGATGAAAAGTATGTGTCTGTAAATGACAGGAAGTTTGAAGTCATTTGTGAAGGTGATCTTCAGGTTCCATCACGCGATGATAAGTTTGGACTTGGTGTTGGAATAGTTGGAGTAGATTCTAAGTTTAAGAATCTACAGTTTATAGTGCCCAAAGTTTCATTTTCTTCTGCAAAAACTGCTAAAGATTGTTTAGTTCCAGGTGCGGAGTCTGATATAAGTCTCTCCACGATTCCTGTGGCACCATCTTCAGATTCTTCACAGTTTGAATTACACCAGGCTTCGGCTGATTTACAGCCATCCATGCAGATGCCTAAGGTTGGTTTGTCTGGATTTTCATCATCTCAGCTTGATCTCACTGGTCCCCACTTTGAATCTTCTATCCTTTCTCCCTGTGAGGGTGTCATACTCACAAAATACCAGGTGACTGTTCCCAGAGCTTCCTTGGCCCCTGAGCGTCCTCTGCAAATTCCTTCTGGGTCTCAGGCTGAGATTCGTCTTCCCAAAACAGAGTGTTCCACTGACCTGCAGCGTCCAGAGGGAGTTCAAACTTCTCAAACTGACAGTCATTCTGATACACTGAATTCCATGATCCCTGCTTCTCATGGTCAGGTGTCTTTTCCTAAATTCTATAAACCAAAATTTGTGTTTTCAGACCCGCAAATGGCAGTTCCTGAGGGAGACCTACCTCCAGCAGTGGGTGCCCCAGTCATGTCTCCTCTTAGCCCTGGAGAGGGGCTACCGTTCCCCTTGCCAAGCACTCAGCTGCCATCCCCAGGCATCTCTGTGTCCCAGGGCCTGGAAGAGCTTGTGGACCCCCTGAAGACAGTAGTGGCTCCCGGAGGAGCCCCTGCTGAAGATGCTGACCACGAAGGGAAGGGGAGTTCCTTCAAAATGCCCAAGTTTAAGCTCCCATCATTTAGGTGGTCCCCAAAGAAGGAAGCAGGGCCAAAGGTGGACCCAGAATGCAGTGTGGAGGACTCAAAACTCAGCCTGGTTTTAGACAAGGATGAGGTGGCCCTCCAGCCCACCATGCACATGAATCTGCCTCCAGAGAGGGATGGAGAGAAGGGAAGCAGCAGCACAAAGCCTGGCTTTGCCACGCCAAAACTTGCACTTCCCAAAATGAAGGCTTCTAAGGGTGGTGTCAGCCTGCCACAGAGAGACCTGGATCCTTCTCGCTCTAGTGCCACAGCAGGGGGTAGCTTTCAAGTCACAGAAAAGGCCAGCAGTGAAGGTGGTGGAGGAGGACTTGGTTCAACAGCAGGCACCACAGAAGGTGAGGGTGTGAACCTCCATTGGCCACAGGTCCGCATTCCTAGTTTGGGCTTTGCCAAACCTGATCTCAGATCCTCCAAGACCAAGGTGGAGCTGAGCCAGTCTGAAGCTGACCTGCCTCTTCCCAAACATAATCTGTCTACTGAAGGTGACAGCAGAGGATGTGGGCTTTGGGATGTCCCAGCAAGCCAGCCTTGTGGGGAGGGGATAGCCCCCACACCTGAAGACCCCCTCCGGCCATCCTGTAGAAAACCAGATGCTGAAGCCCACACAGTGGAAAGCCCAGAGGAGGAGGGCACGACCAGGGACATGCAGGAAATCTGGTTTAAAATGCCCAAGTTCCACATGCCCAGCCTCAAGCACTCTTCCAGGGACAGAGGTGGGGCTGGAAAGCTGGAAGTGGCTCAGACACAGGCACCAGCAGTAACAGGGGGTGAAGCAGCAGCTGGAGTCAAAGAGTTTCTTGTTTCTGGGTCAAACGTGGAGGCAAATATGTCCCTACAGCTCCCAGAAGCAGAGGCAGTAGTGACAGCTTCTGAGAACAAATCAGCCACAGAGGTTCTAAAGTGTGATCTTGACAGCACGGGCTTGAAGCTGCACCTCTCCACTGCTGGGATGGCTGGGGATGAGCTTCCCACTTCCGAGGTCAGGATCCATTCAACCAAAGGACCTCTCCCTTTTCAGATGCCTGGCATGAAGCTTCCAGAAACCCAGGTTCTTCTAGGAGAAATGGATGAGATTTCTCTTTCCAAGCCAGGACATGATCTTGCTGGCATGGAGGAGAAAACGGAGAAATGGTCTTCCCTGCCTGAAGGCCCAGTTACACTGAAAGCTTCAAGTACTGATGTGCCATCCCAGATTTCTGTGGTTAATGTGGATCAGCTGTGGGAAGATTCTGTATTAACTGTCAAATTCCCCAAGTTAAAGGTACCACGGTTCTCCTTCCCTGCCCCCAGCTCAGAGGATGATGTGTTCATCCCCACTGTGAGGGAAGTGCAGTGTCCAGAGGCCAATATGGACATAGCCCTTTGTGAGGAAAGGCCGGGGCTCTGGGGAGCCAGCATCCTGAAGGCAGGTGCTGCGGTCCCCAGGGAGCAGCCTGTGGACCTTAACCTGCCTTTGGAAGCTTCCCCAATTTCAAAGGTCAGAGTGCATATTCAGGGTGCTCATGTTGAAAGTCAAGAGGTCACCATACACAGTACAGTGACACCAGAGTTTATAGATCTCTCAGCACCCAGGGGTTTTTCCACTCAGATTGTACGGGAATCAGAGATCCCCGCGTCAGAGATTCAAACACCTTCGTATGGATTTTCCTTGCTAAAGGTGAAAATCCCAGAGGCCCCCATGCAGGCTAGAGGGTACCCAACAGTGACTCAACACTCTAGGACTCAGGAGGGCTTGGAAGAGGCACCCACACAAGCTGCCCCCAGAGTAGACTCCATTTCTGGAGATCTCCAGCCTGACACTGGAGAACCATTTGAGATGATCTCTTCCAGCATCCATGTACTGGGACAGCAAACACTCACATCTGAAGTTCCTGCTGGCCACCAGCTTGCAGACAGCTGTTCAGATGAGGAGCCAGCAGAAATTCTTGAGTTTCCCCCTGATGACAGCCAAGAAGCAACCACACCGCTGGCAGATGAAGGCAGGGCTCCAACAGAGAAAACAGAAAGTAAAAAATCTGGTCTACTTTGGTTTTGGCTTCCAAATATTGGGTTTTCCTCTTCTGTTGATGAGACAAGTGTTGATTCCAAAAATGAAGTCCAGAGAACTGCTCCTATTCAAACACAGCCTGAGGCACGACCAGAGGCTGAACTGCCTAAAAAACAGGAGAAGGCAGGCTGGTTCCGATTTCCCAAATTAGGGTTCTCCTCATCTTCTACCAAGAAAAGCAAAAGCACTGAAGATGAGGCAGAGCTGGAAGAACAAAAACTTCAAGAAGAAACAGTCACCTTTTTTGATGCCCAAGAAAGTTTCTCCCCTGAAGAGAAAGAAGAGGGTGAACTAGTGGGGCCTGTGGACACCGGGCTGGCCTCCAGAGTGATGGTGACATCCGTGGCAAGAACAGAGGTAATCCTGCTAGAGCAGGACAAAAAAGCTGATGATGAAGGCAAAGGCTCAGGCCTGTGACCAAATGAAGGCTGAGAGGTGTGGCTCATCAACACAAGAGAGATGCAAAAAACGAAGCTGGAAAACAGAGGCTACACACACATATGGAGCACCCCATAGGAGCACGTTATGTCCACCTACCTTCACAGACTGAGAACAGAGCAGAAATAACCAGAACACCTTTGACACCATCACACAGCCCTCCTAAAATGGAACCAAAGCTTTAGAGCTCCCTCAAAGCTTTGGATACAAAGAAGGCACCCTGGCTTCTCACAAGACACCGGAATTCACATGGTACTCAGAGGCACTGCTGGGGAAGTTTGTTTGTCTTTATTAGATAAATTTCAAGAGACCTGTCCATAATACCCAAAAGAACATGACTGTTTCTTTGAGGAAAGGATAGGATGTCTGTGGCGTACAAGTAGCTTTTGGTATAACTCCTTTCCTGCTGCTGCTGCTTCCTAGCAAACATGGTTTTCCTATTTCAGGCAGAGTGCGGTATATTCCAGGAAACACTGTTTCCTACTCACTTATGTGCTTACTTCTTTGTTGAATGCCTCACTAATGGCAAGCTTCAAGACATTTTGTGTGACAGTGCACACATGCTGGGCAGAAGGGTGCTGGCCAGTGGCTGGCAGGTGGGCCAGCAGAAGCAAGGACATCTGTGAGTTGTCATTGTCATCTATCCACGTCCACTTGCCTGCCAGCATCCGCCAGTGCCTTGCCAGCATGCACGTCCCACACTGTGGCCCCTGAGCCCCCTAATGTACATGCTGCAGCCAGAATGCAGATGAAGCTGGCTTGGCTGTTCCCTGGATGGGCAATAAAGAAAGTGCTGCATCCCACGGTGAAGTCTGCTGAGGTCTTTTGTCTCAGGGTTGAAGTTCACCACCGCTTTCCTCCTATGCACTCCAGGTCTCTACTAAGTAGCTTTAGAGAACAGTCAAGGAGGACCATTAGAGTGGTTGCCTACTTATGGTCCATCTGGCCATCTCCTCCTCTGAGCTCCCTGAGCTTTAGGGGCTGTGAGGAAGACAAGGAAGATAGGGCTGAGTTCACAGTGTTGCAGGGACAGACACAAAACCCTCAACTCTCCAGCTGGAGGCAGTGTGGGATGGGGGATGGAGTGCAGAGTGGGGACAGCACAGAAAGGTGTCCTTGGCCATCTTTACGGGCACATCCTCAGAAGCTTCTTCACCACAGAGGCTCTCTTGGGCAGCCCATAGGAACCAAATCCACGTGGGGTAGTAGAGTGAGGTTTAAGGGGTTTTCTACAGTCTTTCAGTGGTCAAATTTCTTCCCAGCTGCCCTCAGATACCCCTGTTGATTTCATGGGTATGCAGTGTCCAAGGGGGCAGCTGGAACTTGGCCCCAGCACCCTCCTGGCCTAGGTGGGCTCCTGGTGTCTAGTGCTCATGGTCTCCTAGGGAGGTGGCTGCTCTCATGGCTGTGGGTATGGGAGCAAGAGCTGGGCTGTGAGCCAATCTGGAGGACCACGTGCCCAGAGGGTGAGTGCTACTCCAAGGCTAGCACTCCTTGTGCTTCCCTAAGAGGTTCCAGAGGGGTGGCACCTATGGGATACAGGCACCTGGGCAGGGGAGAGATGCTAGGTTCTCCCCCCATGCCACCAGGGCAATATGTTCTCTGTACTGAGTTGGAGAGGCCTGTGGGGGTCATCCAAGTTAGGGGATATAGAAGCCTCTAGAAAGTGAACGGACACAGGTCCCCTGGGGGCTCATGAGCAGGAAAAGAAGGGAAATTTGGTGGGCACTCATCCCTCCGTTAAGCAAGGCTGTCACCCTCTCCCTGCCCAGCTTCCCGCCTCTCTCTGCTACAACTTGTGTATGCCAGACAAACTAGGTGAGAGCAGCCCAGGGAGTACTGCAGAGGGAGAAGAAGCCTGCCTGGCTCCATGGAGCTTTTGTCCCTCTGTGATCCTACAGTCAAGGCCTGGGATAGTGGGGACCTTGGTGTTAGAGGTAAGAGAGACAGCTGTCCCAGCATGTGGGGAGTGGCTGAGCAGCAGGGGCCCCTACCGGGTTCTCACGTGGCCTTGCTTCTGTGTATGAGTTATCCGTGCTGCATAAGAACATTACTACAAATTAGCAACTTAAAACAATACACGCTTATGATCTCCTAGTTTCTGTGGAGCAGGAGTCCAAGTGCGGCTTTGTTGGGTTCTCTGCTCAAGGTCCTGTTAGGCTGCAATCAAGGTGTCAGCTGGGGCTGTAGTCTCCCTCTTCAGGCATGACGGAAAGGAGCCACTTCTGAAGCTCACACTGTTGCCAGCCACACTCAGCTCCCTGTCGACTGGGTGACTGAGGGCCCTAGTTTTTTGCTAGTTGGGGGCTGGAGGGGACCCCAGTACTCTGCCACATGGGCCTCTTCATAGGACAGCTTATAGCCTAGCTGCTTTCATTAAAATTAGCAAGGGATAGACTGCCAGCAAGATGATATTATAACCTTATGTCATATGATCACAGGATGTCACAGGAGTGACATCCCATTACCTTTGTGTTTTTTGTATCGGTTACAACAGGCATAGATTCTGCGGACACTCAAGGGTAAGACCACACAAGGACATGCATACCAGGCGGTGGTCATGGGAGCCATTCTAGAGTCTGTCTGCTATATCCCAGAAGGGGCCACATCATGGTGTCCTCCTGGGGTCTCCCAAGCCTTACCAAGCTGGATTTCCTTTGGAGTGGGAGTCTGCTTTGAAGCAGGCCTCTGACAGTGCCACTGAGGTGTGGCTGCCAGACCCGAGGTGAGTGAAGAGGCCTTTCACTGGCTGACAAGACAGTTGTCCAAATCACAGCCTGGAGCACATGATCCCTCCTAGAACACAGCTGGCAGGCATAGAAAGCAGGCCAAGTGCTCTGAGACACATTCAAGTGTAAGGCCAAGAACGAGGAAGCAAACCCACACACGCAACCCGAGGGCAGAGCTCAGTTTGGGATGATATTAGCACCTGAGCCAGTTGTTGCCACGAAGCATTTTGGCAGATGGTTGCTGAGATTTGGAGCATGGATGGGGGACAGGAAGCCACAGGGAGCAGCCACAGGGAGCAGCCACTGCAACTGCCAGAACTCGGCTCAGTCAAGTGCAGCTCACATACACAGCAGCCCCCAGAGGCTCCTAAGGCCTTGCAGGGCTGTGTCGATCCCCATTCCCCTGCAGCATCTAGAGCAAGCTTTTCACAAGCCTGGGCAGGGAGGCAGGATGGGTGTAGACTTTCCGTACGAACAGAATGCTGAGGTCTAAGGTGTCCTTTAGATGGGGGAAGTATGAGATCAGCAATCGAACAGAAAAGTAACTTGTACTGTACCTGGAGATGAACTTGGCTAGCTTTCCCCACAGCAAAGAGGACTGAAGAAGGGTAGGAAAGTGATACCTCAAGACTGGGAGAGCGAGATCCTGGGATCTGTTCAGCACCCAGGGCTCCTGCACAATGCTGAGCCATTCCTGAACCCCAGAATAGCATGGCTCCGTGGACCTCCACCAGGGGAGGGGACCCTGTTGTCTTGGTCAGGAACCATCAGGCGAGATAAGCCAGGGTGCTTTGAGAAGGCTTCTGACCCAGGATTCATAGCAGAAGAGTGAGGACTGAGTCACCAAACCTGGGTTCAAATCCTGCATCTGCAGGACAGGTGCCCAGGTGGCTCCCAGGATAGGGTGAGCTCCAGTGGAGCTGCATCCAAGTCCTAGTCTCAGATTGGAGTCACCTTCCTGTCCCTCAGCTCAAATGCTTGTCCTCTCAGCCCCATCCACCAGTCCGGGGTCCTGCATCCTCAGGACAGCTCCGCACCCACATTCTTAAGCCCACCCTGTACAACAGCCTACAAACCGCACAGCTCTATGCACCCCTACCCTCTCCAGCCTGTCCCCTCATCCACGGCCCTAGGTCCCCTCCCTCTCACCCTCCGTGTCCCCTCAGCTGCAGGACCCTCCCTGCCACCATCCTGGGACTCTCAGCCCTGAGTCCCCTCCCTCTCTTCCCGCCCCCTCAGACCCAGGTTCCCCCTCTCCCTGTCCCCTCAGCCCCAGTCCCTTCTAGCCCTCCCCTCCCCTCAGCCCCGGGTCCCCTCCCGCCCTCTCTGTCCCCTCAGCCCCAGTCCCCTCCCGCCCTCCCCTCCCCTCAGCCCTGTCCCCTCCCGGTCCCCCCTTCCCTCAGCCCTGTCCCCTCCCGGTCCCCCCTCCCCTCAGCCCTGTCCCCTCCCGGTCCCCCCTCCCCTCAGCCCTGTCCCCTCCCGGTCACCCCTTCCCTCAGCCCTGTCCCCTCCCGGTCCCCCCTCCCCTCAGCCCTGTCCCCTCCCGGTCCCCCCTGTCCGGCGCCATGGAAGCCGCCCCCTGGCGGTGGGTGAGCTGCGCTGCGTCCCGGCCTGCGTTCGCTCCGCGGGCGTCCGACGTGTGTGTCCCGCTCGCAGCCGCAGGGCGGGAATTTCGGTCCCGGAGCGCGGCCGCGCGGCGCGGGGTGGGAGGAGGAGGGTTCGCGCCGCCCGCCCCGTCCGGTCCCCGCCCCGACCCGGGTTCTCGCTGACCCGGGACTGGCCGAGGCCGGCCACGGCGGACGCGCGAGGCGGCTTCGCAGGGGTGGACACGTGGAGCCGGGCCCTTGGCCAGAGAACGAAGGGCTGCGCGCGCGGGATCCACGCGGAGGCTCACGTCGGGAAGCCACGAGTGTATTTTAGACCCGGCCTGCGGCCTGGGAGCTCGAGGAGGGGCCTCCTGGAGCGCTCCCTGGAGGAGGTGGGGCTTGGCGGGGCCGAACTGGGAAATGAGAGCGCAGGCAGGCGGGGAGCGGCGCCCGGGCGGTCGCAGGTGGCTCCAGGCGGCTCCAGGCGCGGTGCCCACCCCGGGCCGCCTGCGGGAGGAAGCGGCTGAAGTCGAGGCCGGGGTCGCCGAGGGAAAACGGGGCCCGCCTCAGCCCCGCCAGACGCAGTCCTGGCCCGGAGCCAGTCCGTCCAGGCCGACGGCGTAGCGCGAGCTCCAGTCTCGCTCGAAGAGCAGCCGCAGCTGCTCCTGCACCCGGGGCCGCGCGCCGGGGCTCTGCGTGACCACCAGGCCCACCCCCGCCGTGCTGCTGAAGTAGTCCTCCGACCAGTTGGAGGTGCCTGCGGAGGGAGGAGGAGACGCTGGGGCGCCGGCTGCCCCGTCCCCCCGCTGACCCTGGACTCGGGGTTCCGGGGCTCTACGGGGCCAGATGACAGGCGGGTGGCCTGGTCCCCGGAACCGCACTGGAGACCCTACCCTCCTTCTGCAGCAGCCCCCCTGTTTGAAAATCAGCGCCTCCCCCGGCCGTTCCCGGCAGCCCTGGGGCCCGCCCGCCGCGCCCCGCGCGTGTGCACCTATGTAGGCTGCCTTGTCCGTGACCATGAACTTGCTGTGGTCCACCCTGCTGAACGGGATGTTGGAGTGGTTCCCCACGGGCACGATGAAGACTCTCTTAGGGGAGCAGAGGCAGCGCATGAGGCCAGGCCGGAGGAGGGCCCTGCCCCCCGCCCGCCCACTGGAGCGCGCCCTCACCACATCCACGGAGACGTTGGCCTCGGGATTGCTGAGCGCCTGCAGGGAGCGCAGGTAGGGGAACATGGCGGGGTCCGTGTTGAGCCCGCAGCCGACCAGCAGGCGCACTCGCACGCCCTTAGCGAAGGCCGCTGCGCGCAGCGCGTTGTCCAGCACTGGCCAGTACCTGGGGCAGGGAGGGGCGGAGTGCTCCCTATAAGCCCTGGGCCCAGCGGGGGTCCCAACAGGATGGGACTTGCCCGGGAGCTGCCAGTCAGCAGAACAGGCCGTGCACCTCTCACCCAGACCTACTTGCGGGGGTGGCTGAAGCGTGTGGTGG